AGAGAGTGTCTTCGCTGACGTTCAAGATGAGTAAATGGGCCACCAAGCTTTCAAAAGATAAAAAGATTAAATTTACTTTTATATGTAATCGTCAGGTAAATTTAAGTTTGTGATCGTTGAGAATCCTCTTTTTTGGGTCAATTTTTCCTAACAATCCTTTAATCACGTCTTCTATGATCTCTCTATCCCCTCCCAATCCTTCCTTATTTTCCCTTTTGTTATTTTCTGATTTAAAGCCAATTAGCAGCATTTTTCATGTCAAAAATGGCTCAAATTTTTATCTTTTCCGTATTTACTTTGTTTTATTTAGTCCATCTTCGATAATAATTTTAATTTGTTTTACTTTTTCTCATTCCTCTTCTTCTTTTTTTTTTTTTTTTTTTTTTTTTTTTTTTTTTTTTTTTTTTGACAAGTTACAGTTGCATGCTATTTGTCATGGCTAGATTTTTCCCATCTCTTTTATCAATTTTTCACGCTCTTGCATCCGTTTAATCTACTGTTTGACGGATGGGGTAGTAGCTATGTTTGTGCATTCGACTCGTTTATATTTAAGAGTCTGGGGACTTCGGGGATGTATATATAATATTAACATGGATATTTCCTGTTCGCCAAAATTGTCTTTACTGGATAAAATTTGCATAATTCTCACATTGAGTCATAACATCAGTGTCTGTTTTAAAAGACCACATTGAGTGATTCATTGCAAAGAAAACTAAGGTACATTAAATTATAAAATTTTATTTCATTTTATTGAAAAAAAATACGTGATCTGATTTTATATCTTTTAAAGCATTATATGCGTAATATCCGATGTCATATCAGTATAAAAAATATCTGTTTATGACTTGATTGGCACTTGGAAGTGCAATTGCAATTTACACCTTACCTTGCGCGCATACAGGTACATGCATATATGTTTGTTAAGAAGTTTTTTTCCAAGGAAGGTATACATTTATGCAAAATTTAAAATGTTAGATGAAACAAGAGATTGCATAATACTCTAGATATATGTTGTGTGTAAATTTTACGTGACAAAAAGAAAGGATAGAGGCAAAAAGGAAAGAAAAAATTGAGAATGTCTTAAAATTATGCAAATCAGCTACCTTGAGGGCCGATGTCACTTCGACAGGTGCAAACATTTTAAACAAGTGAAAAAGTCTAACTTCTTGATGCTCTTTAATAGCTTGACAAGAGTAAAATTAATAGAATCGTATTCTTTACATCTTTAAATTTTGCAATTATTGTAGTTGTGAAACTTTAATCTTTTATTTATTCCAATGCTTGACAGAGGTTATAATATCGCGAAAAATACATTCATCATGGAAATCAAGAAAAGAAACAGCTCTACATGTCAAATCTCAATCTATTTATATTAATGAAATTCTTTTATGTAACTTGACATCATAAATCTTAATCAGTATAGACTTGATTTCGTACTGCTTTTTTGTCTGACTAATTAATTGCGGGTTTTGATGATTGAAATAAAAATGCAATTAATTTAATTTCTGGATATCAAACGCCAATACTGAGCAGTGTTTTCTTAGTCTTTGTCAAAGGTCAAAGTTCAAATTGCATGACATGAAAATATTCTGATCAATCCATGCATGAGGTAGAGATTATGATACGTCATTCTGGTTTGTAAAACATCTATAAATTGATTTTTTATATATTAAATGTCTATTCATGATTTGACAAATTCTTTCAAGGATTACTTTCTCTGTCAATAGCTAGCAGCGCAGGAATTGTTATGCACAACTGAATCCAGTTTGTAATTTCCTTCAACTGGTGGTTAAAATTCGACATTCTTGTGGACTGAAATCATTGGTTTTGCCGTTTTTATGCCATGTTTTGATGTTATTTTTACGGTTAGATGCTTCTTACAAAACCAATCAACATCCATTTCCTTTAAAGGAAATGTTAAACCTCTGTTAAATCTCTGTTACTCGCTGTGATTATGGGTAGCAGGAATTTGTTCCAGAGAAATAATTATATTCAATATACCACATTGAACCGAACAAAGAGATAAATCTCTCTCTCTCTCTCTCTCTCTCTCTCTCTCTCTCTCTCTGAGATTCCTTTTGTATATATTTCCTGTGTGTTTAAGAAGCTTAATCAATTGGCATGTATTTTAACTAGTCTCCTTGATACATGATTGATAATGAATATGACCATTTTATTCATTTGCGAATACTTGGATCCAAGTAATGTTCATGTCAGCCATTTTCACTCGTGAAGGAGTCCCATAGAAGTACAAATTTTATTGCTTGTATAACACGTTTTTCTACAAAAAAGTCTGTGTTAGCATTAATTTTACTTGATAAAATGTTCCTTATTAATTCATAGTATCTCTCTGTAATTACTCTACGCCTTAATTGTAAGGTAAATGATGCATATTTTTGCAACATTAATTTTATTTGTCAACCATACAAATTGTTGTTGCATTTTGAAAATCTTGTCCACTTCATTAGCAAATTTGTCACAAAGTTTAGATTTATATATAAAATACAATGCCATTATGAATATTAAAGAAGTTAATATAGATAAATATTTAACATCTGAACGGAAATAAGACAATTTTATAAAACTTTTTTTTCTTTAAAGGGATGACATTTTATTTTACGATATTTGCCTCTCACGACGTTTATTAGTAAATCATTTAAATGAATTTAACAAAGTGTTAACCACAGAGTATAAACAATTATGATGTACTCGTATTTAGATATAATTATCAATATAAATCATATCAAGCATTCCTACAAAACCGCAATTTTTCATGTGTATAAAGCATTTCATGGAGGTAAAATTAAATTTTAAGCTCTTTGAATTCAATATATTAAAAGCTATTCATTATGATGAAGATTAAATAAAAATAATTTAAGAACGCAGAAAAGGGGCTAGTTTTATTTTTTTGTCATTACAAAAAAAAATTATGCTCTGAATTGAATTATTCTATTTAGATATTTCAATGAATTGTTTTCTTCTCGTTAATCTTTTTTGACATATGTATTTAAATCATTTCTCATAATTTACGCAAATTAAATGTGATTGTATAACTTCTACAGAAAAATAATGTGACACCTCAATTTGACTCGAGCAGCTGTTTGCTAAGCACGCTTAACAAATAGTTCATGAATCTCTCTCTCTCTCTAAATTATAAAAATAGTTCAAACCTAAGCGCACGAACTGCTCGCGTTTATATCTTATAAAGCTTTAATTGTAATTTTATCATTTAGAAGATGGCTACTTTGATTCGTATCAATTTTATATAACTAGTTATGAACGGGGTTGGTATATATGTATTTCATGATACATGTATATATGTACAACTCCCTAATAATTGGCTTTTCTGTTTTTGGTGAATTAATAAGACGTGTAAATGTACTTTTCATGAGATTGGTCATTGCTTTAGATTACTTAGCAGTGTTACCAGTTATACCCTCACCAGCTCCACACCCCCCTCCCCCCGGGGGGGGGGGGGGGGGGTATTAGAACTCGTCGCCTATCGAGTGCCTGAAATGATGCCCGCGGGATTTTTTTTTTATACTTACTAGTTACAGAACTACACGTATTTTAGTTAACATGTTTGAATTGTGTTCAGGTCATCATCGGAGTACGTGTACTAGAGTAGAACTCATGGACTAAACTGATCTCGAGTTTGAAGAGGTGTCCCCGAATTTGCTAACTTCCCTATTAAAACATTATTTAGTGTCACGCTTTTTGAATTGTTGTCGGTATTTATATTTATGTACCTTTATATACATGTATCAAACATTTAATTTCCTTTTAAGGTTCTATCATTGATAGATAGCGATTTATTGATCGCAATCTACACATTTCGATGCGTCATGACGAAGGTGGAACTGTTTATGTATACGATACACATGAATAGAACACGATTATACTTAGAGTAAACAGTAGGTATCATAAAAACTGAAGAGGTGAAATTAAAGATTCTTCAGTATTGTTTGATACATGACTCAGAAAAAGTCATCCCCACATACCTAGCGTATAAATGATGACACTACGTCAAAAGTATTTCAGGTAAATAGGTGTTATTACACACCTGGGCAAAAAAGTATGTGTCGATAGTTATCTTTACGAAAGTGAAGTTAATATGTGGTTAATGTATCATCTACTTTAATAGTGTTCTAAAAAAACTCATTGACAAAAAGAGCAGAAATTGGGAATGGAAGAAAATTGTGACATTAAGAAAACAGAACATGGACTGAATTTATCGAGGTCAAACAGTAAGGACACGAGAGTGCGACAAAGGGTAAGACGATCCTAAATATAGAGGGATAGTACATGTACAAATATACATGTATTGCTATAAAATCGACTTATAGTCTTCTGAACCTCCATTTGTTTTTAGTTTTTTTTTTTTTTGGTGGATCCAGGATATTTGTGTGCAAGGTTTAAGAATGAACAAAATGAAGCTACATTAAAATAATAATAACGGAATAATACTACCATACAGGCGGACATATATATATATATATATATATATATATATATATATATATATATATATATATATATATATATATATATATATATATAATTCTGCCATTGGGAATCAACTTAAATTCTGCTCTCAGTCGGGGGGGGGGGGGGGGGCTTTTAGGACTTGTTCCCGTCAAATGAAACAGTTCTTCTGTGACTTTTGATCTTCAAAGTTTTCATAATTTGTTAAATTAATACATTGTTAAATTTTGAATTGATTTTCCCAGCTAATTATGTTCCTTGGTTTTCCTTTGACATACTTTGTATCCTGTTTGTAAAACATTAATAGTTTACATAGAAGCTAATGTCAATCAAAAGTTACCAGTACATCACCGATACTGTGATAAAATGAGCTCTCACGGATATGCGTTCATCCGCCTTCTGACAAAGTATACTTATATTTTTTCGTCAACTATCATCCTGAATTTAGACCTGACCGAGATTAAAAGCTATATGATGTGTCTTACAATGCAAAGATAATTTTGCTTTATTTGAACATTTACTCAATTGCATCAAATCATGGAAAGACAGACTTCTTATGTTCGAAGACGATTGGTTTCAACTCGATCTATTTCCATAGAGAAAGTAGAGGTTACTATATATTCACAAATAATGATATTTAAGCATTTTATTTATTTAGTATTGATATATTAGTACACTTCAAACGATCGCATCGTTTGTTTGTTTGTTTGTTTGTTTGTTTTGTTTTGTTTTGTTTTGTTTTTTGCCTCCACTTGCGCTTGTATTTTGTGCACTTGTATCCGAGTCGTCACTGCATGTAATTAAAAAAGAAATATCTTGGTGTGATACTGTTTGTGTAAATGCATGTTTGTTTGTTTTTTAATTACAATCATATTTTTCTTTTGCAGAAGTACAAACTAAGTTCATCGAGTACACCGTCCCCTTCAGAAGAAAACAAAGGCTTTTCCACAGGATATTATCACAAAAATATCTTTACAGTTAATGGATATGGTTCCGAAGTGACAGATGGAAAAGAGACACCAGCCTTTGACAATTATGCATATGCCTCGCATGAGGATGACAATGTTTTTAAACCAAAAAGTGATATTTATTTTGACCCCTCTAGTTTACAGAGAGGTGAAAAAGGAAAAAAGTCCCGAGTGGAAAGTGCTCGGGACGAAAATGTGCCAAAAAAGAGAGGAGAGAAAGGATGTTTAATGTTGTTGTGCTTTTTAACTTTCCTTGGCTTATTGGCTGGAATAGCTGTGATAATATACGTTCAATTTTTCAAAGGTATGTTATTCCGGAAATGTGAAAGTACGTTTTTATGTTTTCTTTTTTCATGGCGAGTGTTTATTTCCGGTTTGCAAAAATCGCCAAAACTGAAAATTGTCGAACTCGAAGGTTATTTTAATGGTAGGTGCTTACTATCAAAAGATATAAAACATCAATGTGCTATTCGGGCCCTTGATTGTATTTATTTTTTTTTATATGTTTTACGGTGTGACCGTTGTCAAGTTGTAACGTAACCACTCGGCCAAATGGGATATAATTGCCCGTTTGCAGTCTAGACGAACTCCAAAAACAGCGTTTCCGGAAGTAAGAAATTGAGACTGAAAAAGAGTCCGAAAATCGAGTCCGCGCATGCGCACACACACAAAAAATGGCGATTTTTCGGCAAAAATGATGGGTCTACAAAAACTGTCCGTGCAAAGTTTTGGAAAGTATGGCAATTATATCAGTACTCAGAAATGCTAAATAAAAGACTTCGGAAGAGATCGTATTTGTCAGATTTTTGATTTTATTTGCAAAAAAGGAGATATTTACTTTCAAAGTTAACGTTTCAAGTCAAATAAATTACAGAGAAAATTATACGTTTTGAGAAGTAAATATGCATAATAAAAGGGATATTTATGCAAAATGGGACAATATATATTGTAACTGTTAAAAACTTGACTGAATTTTACACATAAATTAGCATTCTGGTTTTTTATTTGTGTACGACATCTGAATTGAACGCGTAAGTTTTTACCATCGTCATTTACCGATATACGAACATATATTATTATGAAAACATTTTTAAAACTATTATCTATCAATATGAAGACTTTAAAAACCACTCTTCTGGATATATTAAGGGCACAACATGTCTTCTAAAAATGAACCCGTTAATATCTCTGCTCCGTGGTGAAAAATGCGCATTTTCTGATTAAAATGAATACAAGTTGCATGTCTTCAAAAACAAATAAAATTAAGCACCTTTATTGTAGGAACGACATAAAATTTAAATCAAGGAGACAATAAATTAAATAAGAAAATATTTCTTACCGGCAGTATTAAATTCGATGTCGTATATCCAATTCACTATTATGCAAGAGTTTGAAGCAATAAATAAGTCAATTTTCACAAAATAATTTAATAAATGCAATTATCCATTCAACAAAAAATAAAATAAAGTAATAATGCACTAAATCCACAATTATGCAGCCATATATTTGGAGAAAGCGAACGACAATCCATCGTTTGTTTACATCGGACGCCATTTTGCCGCAATGCATGATGGAGCCAAAGACTTCGTTTTCGGAGTTCACGCTGTTTTTGGAGTTCGTCTAGACTGGTTTGGGATATAATATCCCAAATGGGATTTAAATTTACATTGCAAAAAATGAAAAATTTTATTTTGGCAATAAATATCATAAATCCACATCAATATACTTAAAAAGGAACATCTTTTGGCAACAAGTTTTTCTGCAACCCTACAGTTTGTTAGATTGATCCCCAAGAAGTTAAAGAACTTCCGAGGGATCAATCTCCTAAACAACGGGCATGCAGAAAAACTTGTTAACCAAAAGTTATACCTTTATAAGCATCTTGATGCGGATTTATGAAATTTATAGCCAAAATAAAAATTTAAATTTTTTGCAATGTAAATTTATATCCCATTTGGGATATTATATTCCAAACGGGCAATTATACCCCGTTTTGGTGAGTGGTCCCAACCTGTTGATGGATCATGCCAATGATGCCACTAGTCCACTACTATTTTAATTGATCCAATCAAATAATAAAGTCATGCCAGACAGTTACTGTTTTAGTTGAATTTAATTAATTGAATTAATTTTAAGTCTAATTTTAGGGGAAAGTTGTAAATTCTATGAAATGTTTATTTTAATTTCAAATATCATTTTAGTAAACTTTAAAACAAATTGAAATCATGCAATTTTTTTTTCATTTTGTACAACTGTACCTGCTTAAAATATTTGGGAATGGCTTTACATACATGTACATAATATTTGAAATAAAACTAAGCTTACTAAGAATGATAGAAACACAATTTTATCTCTCAATTAAAAGCTAAATAAGTTAGTGTCCATGTTGCTTGATGTGATATATTTTAACTAAATGATTACAAGCCCACTTGTCTGTTTACTTGTCTGTTTAAACAGGTCTTTGATTGAAGATTCTGGCTTTAAAATCAAACCAAATTTTGATTTCTCATTGAAAAATAGCAACTGACAAGAAATAAACATGTTTGTGCTGAAGTTGATTATATCGAGCATAGCGAGCTCTAATGATGTGTATGCATACTGAGGAAATCTGCACGTAAAAAATTTGTAAAACAGTCCAGGGTCTGGTAAAAGGACCCTGTCCCAATGGAAAATTGACTCGTTTTTCCCCCCTAAATCAGGGGGGAATTCCCAAATGACAAGCAAATTGAATTTTTAAATGCTTTTTATATAAAAAGAACTAGCCTACAGTCTAACACTTTATTCTATAATTATCATAGTAAAACATAATAATAAGACATCATTTTTCCCCCCAAATTTTACCACGTTTTGGATTAAAAATTCCAAGTTGAAAGGGTACAGGACCCTGTGCCAAAGAGGTCAATTAAGCTCTGAGTTTAATTCAGAGCAATTTCCTTGTTTTCCTCATAATTTAACTGTATTTCCCAGTAATACTGGTTCTTACCATTCTAAAAGGATGAGTATTTCCTGCTCTAGCCAATTCTGTGATGCATTATGAATTTATAATGTGATGGCATCATTGCTTTATATGGCATGCTTGAAATAAGCAAGAATCATTTTGATGCTGCTCAATATTCTCAATTGAAATCCCATGATTTTAGTGTTTTGATTAATTGACCCGTCTCTCACCTTGGGATGCTAAAGATTTTAAAAGAATGTTAACAACATAATTGAAATCTAAAATAAACTTTTAATTATCAAATTAGGCATACAACACATAGGGGTGATAAGATGAAGAACTAATCCATTTGAAGTTATGTTCTTTTATTGAAGGTTAAAATTGATACTTTTTTTACTTTGTATTTCTAGAAAAATCTCCCGATCCAGCTACTCAAGCTTGTAAGTATTTACTGACTACAGACAGAGTATTGTTATTTTGTCTTATTTTGATAAGATATTTACTTTTATTAGTTACTGAAGGTCACCAAATTTTAGTATCACCTTATTTTCACAAGATAATTTATATATTTACATTGTATTTTGGAATGCATGCAAATACAATTACATGTATATGATAAATTTGGAGGAAAATTGTGTGAAACTATTTAATTGCAAAGGAAATCAACATTCTTACTTCTTGTATATACAATTTGTTTGTACTTGATTTATGTGATAGTTAAACCATTGATATTTGAATTTGTAGCACCTGTGATATTAATAGGCAGCATAACCTTAAAAGATGATTGGAATGAGGATCTACGCAATTCCTCGTCACCAGTTTTCAAGTCTACATCCACTAACATATCTGCAGAGGTACATAGTACATGTACTCTTGAAGTGTGCTATTGTTATCTTGATCAAAGCATTCTATCGTTATCATTTTGTGAAAGTTCAAATTAATTTTGGTTACTCAGCTTATTTGTTAATAACAAAGGTCATTAACATTATTTGAAGATTTGGTTCTTCAAAGCTTAGAGAAGTTTTATTTTTAAAAAAAAAAAAGATATTTCATGACCTTTGTGGTTTTTTTTTCTTGTGCATGTGTATCTATATATATATATATTGTTGTTGTTGTTGTTGTTTTGAGTTGTTTTGATGGTTTTTGTTTGTTTTCTGATCTCAAAAGCTACATGATAAATTATGAAGTATTTTTTAAGATATCTTAGGTACTGTTAGACTTAAGATGCACAGAAACTCTTTTTTTGTTTGTTTATGCAAATGCACATTCATTGTACATGCACCTGCTTTTGTTAAATTTCAATTTCTTATAACATACTAAAACGAGCAAAAATTCATTGAAAACAAAATTGAAGTTCAGTTTTTTGCAATTTGCAGTTTATAAATACAAATTCACTGATTGTTTTTGTCTTTTCAGATGGATTTCATTATGCAAAATGGCAATTTGTCACAGTTTTATATGGAAAACAAAGTATTGTCCTTCAGGTAAATTAGAATTAAGATTTATTCTAGCATATTATGACTCATTTGGAGTTCCAAACAAAAGCTGACATTTTCTGAAAACATTTCCTCATTTCCCAGTTTTCAAAGATTTCTTTGAAACACATGCACACACAAAACAAAGACAGAATTCATGCAATATGTTTTATGAAATCTGCAGCAAAAGTCTATTGGTTTGGATGGCTATGTATTTTACAGTTTCCTTGCTTTTAAGTGCTGCTGTATTTTTCAGTGAATTATTTATCTTTTCAAGTTAAATTAGAAAATAAACCAGTTTGTTCTTTTACATCTGCTTCTGCATCACTTTGAAAAATGAGAAAGAATAACAAACAATTTCTGTACCTACTTCTTTTGCATTACTTTACCAACTTCTTCCATGCCCCTCACCTTACCCCCTTTCCTATCTTTTTTTTACCCCTGCTTTCACTGAAAGTTGGGGATATTAAATGGGTGTAGCTGTCCGTCTGTCTGTCATTATGTCTGTTGTAACACTTTCATTTCAGGACAATATTTCAAAAAGCTCTTGAGGTTTTGCAATGAAATTCTGAATCACAACTCCCTTTGGCCAAAAGATTTGATTTTGTAATGATTTTGAGGTCAAAGGTCAAGGTCAGAAATTAATAAATATTGCTAAAATGGTTTCCAGCTGATAACTTTAATTTTCTTGTAGCTTTTTAAATGAAATTTTATATCATAACTCCCAATGACTTAAAGAAGACTCCCATTGATTTTATAGATCAAAAGGTCAAGGCCAAATTCATATATTGCATACATGCATAGTTTTCAGATGATGATTTTAGTTCTCACTTCTCAGTAAGCCTTTACAATGAAACTTAAAGTCATGAATTCCTTTAACTTTAAAAAGACCCCTTTTTGACTTTAAAGCTGAAAGGTCCAGGTCAACTTTTGTTTTCTTTCTCCATCTGCACCCCCCCCCACCCCCAATTTTCCATCCTCTTCTTTTTTCCTTAAGAGGGGGCACACATTCTCTGAATTAGCTTGTTGTCATGATGATGAGCACAGACACAGATGTAATAAGAACTGCTATTAAGGGTCACATGAGCTCACAGATGATTTCATTCATTCTGATTGGCTGAAATCCTCCTTTTAAGAAAGAAAAAATTGTGGAGCAGCTGCATTACCTCTTACAAGTCAATGACTATAAAATATTTGATGACCATAAAAAACTGTAAATTTAAATCAGTTCTGATCACTGTGTTATTCTTAATTCATGTCTTTTCAGTCAGGGAAGTATTGTGGCCATATTAGAGATCTTCTTTCGCCCAGACTATGGGTCAGTTTTCCAAAATGTTGAAGAATTAGCTTCAACAGCAGAACTTCATGTTATGGCGGCTGTACAAAATGGATACACAAATCTCAATATTCAGGCAGTCAACTTAACTGGTATGTATTTTATTTTTCAAAAAGACATTAAGTTTAAGAAAACAATTTTTATTAAAATGTGAATTTTGAGTGCAAAAAAGTTTTTGTGAAAATTGGGATGCAAAATAAATGGTAATATCTGAGGTGTCCAGCAATTGCATTTTTTTTTTTGAATGGCAAGAAAGTAAAGTTGCTAAAATATTCCAAATCTTTATGACATAGAAATTAAAAATACCGAATTTTAAATGCTACATAGAATTGCAAAGTACATGTATATTGTATTTCAAATTATGTAAATAACGTCATTTGTGTGTGCAGTGATTGATTTTTTGTTATTTTTAGGAGAAATAAAGACTTCCACCACTTCACCATTAAGCACAATATCATCTACCATTTCATCAACAACATCAACAAAAGTTGTTAGTACACCCTCAAGCACACTTTCAATGTCCACCACCAGTTTTCCATCATCATCAACTCCTGAGGCCACAACTATCACAACCACTAATACACCTGAACCAACAACCACTACAACTCCTGAACCAACAACAACCACAACACCAGAACCAACAACCACTACAACTCCTGAACCAACAACAACTACAACACCAGAACCAACAACCACTATGATGGAATCAACGACCACTACAACTCCTCAACCAACAACCACTACAACACCTGAACCAGCAACCACCACAACACCAGAACCAACAACCACCACAACACCTGAACCAACAACCACTACAATGGAATCAACAACCACTACAACTCCTCAACCAACAACCACCACAACACCAGAACCAACAACCACCACAACTGAACTTTCTTCAACACCCGAGACAACAGAATCTGCATCAACAACACCATTACCAGGTACTACTTGCTCAAATTTGACTCTTTTAAAATTACTGTTTGATTTTAAACATTCTTTTCCTCTTAGTCTTTTATTGAATATTATGAATAGGATGATTTTTATTATTAAATGGATTTTTTATTTAATAACCATAGTTAATTTCCACATTTTTAGGCCAAAAACTTTAGATGCCTAACAGGGTATCAATATTTTGAATGGTAGATTCATATGAGGTGAACATTCCTGCACCACTGGCATTACATTTTACAAAAGATACTTTCACTGTAATATATATTCTTGTTAATACTTGGTGTTTGATTTTAGGAATGTGTATGCCATTACCAGTGGTGAAATGTCAGGCCTTGGGCCGTAACAGCACAATGCTTCCTAATTTTTTTAACCAGACAACGATTCAGGAGACCTTGACCCCGTTTGAGATGTTTAAAATGCAGAGTTGTTCTAATAATGCCTTGTTGTACATCTGTGACATGATGTATCCAAGGTGTGAAGACGAACATCTTCCATGTAGGGACACCTGCTTGAGTAAGTAATATGTGTGAATCATGATTTTGGTGTAGCATATTTACATCAGGCAAGGAAATGGTTATTTAACTAGAATTAAAGAAGTAATGGGAATTATTAACAACTTAAAGGTTCATGATTTCATCAATGTCCAGTAGGATTTCATTCCTTTGTGTGATTAGGTTTCAAAAGAGCACAATATTTTGTATCTTTGTCCAATCAGGCTAGAAGATTTAATGATATTGCATGTTGGGTTTAATTAAAATGAATTATTTTATATAACAGGTATTCAGAAAGAATGTGGGAGTAACTTTGAGCTGGCAAAAGAGCAGTACTGTGACAACCTACCCACTATGAACTGTATTGGTCCAGCAGTGACCACTACCAGTACCACTTTAGCCACCACTACCACTTCATTATCAACTATACCCACCACTAGTACAACTGTGGCACCATCTTCAACTGTTGGTAAGAGTGCAAGCTTGTACCTCAAAATACTGCAACTTTTTTTTTTAAATCCGTTTAAGTACATGAACATGCACAACAACTTTATTTTTGCATAATTAAGTGGGACTATATGTTCACAAAAATTTCATTCTCACATATTTTTGTATTATTAAAGATTATCATAAATATATGTATGGACATGATATTATCCAAAATTTCGGAACATTTTGTCTGTCTTATAAATACCAAATATTTGGTAATCTACAGTGTAGGAAATCAAAATCTACCGGGGTATTCTTAAAAGGGTATTTCACTTTACATGATATAATCATAATGTTTTTGCAGGTTTTTGTATGTTGCTACAAGTTCCAGAATGTCAGGCAGTTGGCCATACTTCTGTCATGTTTCCCAATCCTTTCCAGCACAATTCTATTGAGCAGGCGTTGGTTTACTTTGAGCGGTTCAAGAATTCAAGCTGCTCACCCAGCTCCATGTATTATCTGTGCAATATGCTTTTTCCCAACTGTGATCCCTCCACTGGACTTTTGCGTTATCCATGCCAAGATCACTGCAATGGTATGTATAAACCTGAATATGTTTTTATCACTAGCAGAAATTTGTTTTTAAAAAAAATAAATTATTGGTATGGTGAGGATCAAGAAATGTGTCAAAATCTGAATTGATTAAATACAGTCAAAACTCATCTCTAACTCAGTGGCACTGAGAAAAACTTCCAAGGATTTGAGATCTTATGGTTTAAAAAGGTAAAAAAAAAATGTGATAGGGAATCCCAATTTGCTTTGATATATCCATGTTATTTGAGATATCAGTGTTCAAGATATCAAAGTCCAACTGTGTGTTCCTTACTATGTTTCAATAAAAACAGGGGCTTACAGTACACAAACAGATATCTAATGGCCTTGAGGGTTTATCTTTGGAAATGATAGAGGTTCTTTCAATAAGGTCATTTGTAACTTGCATGAATTTATATTTCTTTTAATTGAACAATTGAGGATATGAATATGGCAAGTAACACTGTAGATTTTAATGATCTTTGATTTTAATATATAACAAAATCAAGTTCAATGGAAGGATAGATAGGAACTATGAAATACTTGTTCACACTAAAATTTCATTTTGGAGGTAGAGTGAGAGAGAGGAAAAAATATAGTATCATACTTGATGCAGAAAAATGGTTATGATGAGAGGGCATATCTTGATTTTGTTTCCAAATATTGAATGGAATAAATACGACAAATTTCTTAAGGCAAAATTCTTAATAAGAATAATTTTTTTTTATACACATAGCAATGATGTTGCAACTGAGCAATCCAATTCATTTGTATTGAACAAACTAGGTCAGAAGATGTCAACAAAGATAAGGAATTACTAATGATTAACTGTTTTTTAACCAGCTACCTATGATTCTTGTCCGGCCTTACCTGTGGCTGGCATCTCGTACTGTGTTCAGCTACAGACTGCCAACTGTGAACCGAAATACCAGGAACCAACCACAACAACCCCAAAACCAGAAACTACAACTCAGCAAGGTATTCTTAAATAAGGGAAAATTCACCCATCTTCTCATACTCAGCATTTTTGATATAATGTCATTTTCTAACAGAAAATAGTAGTCAATTAGAGGCAAAATTGAGACAACACATCGTCAAAAATGAAAATGTTGTAAACATATTGATTTGTCAATTCAAGAGTTATCTTCTCCTAGCAGAAGGTGTTTTCTCTTAAATAAATCAAATGCTGTCTTAGAAAATAAAAGTACATCCTTAAACTACATGTACATTGTCTAAATCTACGGTCTGGAGTTCACATATAGCTCTCTCATATTGGATGGGAGAGTATCATACTATTAAGTTGTTGTTTGTGACGGTGTTAAAATATAATCAGATTGATGACTCCTGCTTAATCTTTTTGTTTCAGAACTGTGTTTTACCTTACAAGTACCAGAATGCCAAGCAGTCGGCCATACTTCTGTCACATTTCCAAATCTGTTTGATCACACTTCTATTGAGCAAGCATTGGCCTATTTCAAAGCATACAAGAATTCAAGTTGCTCACCCAGCTCCATGTATTATCTGTGTAATATTCTTTTTCCCAAGTGTGATCCCTCCACTGGACTTCTGAGTTATCCATGCCAAGATCACTGCAATGGTATGTCAAAATTTAACGATATAATTGTCTCTTTCAAAAAATTGTTTTCAAATAATAAAAAAAAAAAAGAGAAAAGAAATATCCACTACTTTCACAACCTTCTTTTACTTGCAAATAATTCTCATCAATAACCATTAATTTACATGTAATTGTTTATTACCAGTAATATAGATTGTTTCGTAAGTCATGAAAATTGAAAGTTGTTGATGGAATTCACACTGAAGAATCACAATTAAATTTTGTTGCAAATAAATACAAATGTAGTTAGTTTATAGTATCCAGTATATGTGCATGCATGTACAATCTGCCTCATCAGGAGTGTACTGTTTGGGAGAGTGTTAAACTTGGGGAGAGATTGAAGATTTTAAATTTCAACTGATGATATGTGATTGATTTATTGAACAGCTATTCAACTCACCTGTCCTGCCTTATCGACTCTGGCTAATTCAGCTATATGTTCCAGTTTTCCAACAGCCAATTGTGTACCAAGTTATCAAAAACCAGGTAGCCTTTATTCAATAACATTTCTGAATAAAATTGAGAAACTTAATTGATTTTTAGCTTACCTGAGCCAAAGCCTCTGTGATCTTTTCTGATCAAAAAGTTTCCTGTGTCTGTCTGTCTGGCTGTCTAGCTGTCTGTCACTTGTTGTCTGTAAATTTTCCATTTTCATTTTCTTCTCAGAACCACTGGGATAATTTCAACCAAATTTGCCATAATGCATCCTTGGGTGAAGGGTACTAATATGATGAGTCACACTCTCTTTTTGCTTAGAGATACTGTGATTAAGAAAGTAAAGAAAATTTCGTGCAATTATTTAATAAAATCTTCTTAAGAACCATTGAGCCAGGATAAGAAATCTCATGTGAATGCAACTTTATAGTGTACAGTGAAGATTCAAATTTATTCATTTCATGGCCCCTGGGGATAGAGTTGGGTCATTATAGGGGATCAAATATTTACATGGAAATATAAAGCAAAATTTTTTGAAAATCTTCTCATGAAAAGCAGGGTCATGATTAGTGATAATTAAAAGCAAGCATCCTCATAGTGCAAATACAAATTTGTTAAAATCATGGTCCACAGGGGGGAGGGTGGGGGGCTATAATGTGGGATCAAAATTTTTCATCAAAATATAGAGAAAAAAATCTTTAAAGAATTTCTCAAGAAAAGCAGGGCCAAAGTGGATCAGGTGAGCATTGTGGCTCATTGACCTCTAAATTTCCTGAAGAGGGAACCCCCCCCCCCCTAAACTCGCTAAAATGATATTTTTCTGTAATTATTACAATTTTTTAACAGGAGATGGAAATTTTAAAGGAAATTCAATTTTGTATCATAAACAGGATAGAATTGGAGACAAATTATTAATGACAATGAACATTTTATTATTTATTATATTTTATTAAGGATGTACTGTACACGTGTTGTAATTTATCAGAGTTAGAGTTACCTTTCTTTGCACATTTGTACTCAAATAAACCTTTGTTGAATGTATTTATTTTAGATTCATGTCTTCAACTACAAGTTCCAGAATGTCAGGCGGTCGGCCATACTTCCGTCATGTTTCCGAATCCTTTCCAGCACAATACTATTGAGCAGGCATTAGTTTACTTTGAGCAGTACAAGAATTCAAGTTGTTCACCCAGCTCCATGTATTATCTGTGCAATATGTTTTTTCCCAAGTGTGATCCCTCAACAGGAGTTATCACGTTCCCATGTCAAGAACATTGCAATGGTTAGGACCTAAATATCATAGAATCAAAAAAAAAATTCCTTTTGGTTTGAAAATTACTAGTCTTATATATTGAGACATTTGAGAGTAATTATTTGATTTCCTTGCTTCATAATAAAGCATATAGAAAGATCACACAAAACCAATATTACTAGCATTTTGTGTACTTGAAATAAAGAAGATCAAAATTAGTCTGTGCCTTTAAAAAAAATAGCAGCAGCCATTTTAAATATATTATATGCAACATTAAGATAATTTTTGTTGATTTCTACAATACTCTTTTGAATGATCATATGGAACTAAAGTGTATGAGTATAAAGTTATAACTGTTTTCTTGACCAGCCACCCATGATTCCTGTCCTTCCTTGGCTGTGGCTAGTATCAATTATTGTGTCCAGCTACCAACAGAAAAATGTGAACCAAGTTACCCAGAACCAACCACTACAACTCAACAACCAGGTAACTTAGCTAAGAATTAAAAGTTATCCTCTCTAATTACAGTGAGTTACAAGTCTCTTTTAACCCTTATTTCCTATACATCAACTTAAAGCGAGGCCCTTTGAAATGGTTTCAATGCATTTCAAAGATATCTAGTTTTGAATTTCTTGCACTATGATTGCGTTTGTACGTGTGCCTTACTTTGTAAGTGTAAAGTTTTCTGATTATTCTGCCTTTTTTTGTAGAATTGTGTTTCACTACCACTGTACCAGAGTGCCTTGCTGTCAATCATACGATCTTTACCCTTCCCAATGTGTTCGGTGATACAACTGTGGATGGTGCTATTCAGAGGTTTAATTCATACAAGAACCAGAGCTGCACAGATAATGCAATGTTTTATATCTGTAATTTGTTATTCCCCAACTGTGATGTCAATACAGGGGTCATGCAGTTTCCATGCATCAGTCTTTGTAATGGTATGTAACTTAAATACAGAATCCATAACCAGCAGCTGGTGTAATAATCACACCTCCCTCTGTAATCACTCAATTAAGTTTCAGGTAGTTTTTAACTTAGTCTATAATTACAATCCCTGATTGAAAATTGGAACTAAGAAAAGAGACAACTTTGCACATTTTTAAGCTGCTTCTCTTTTCACTATTTTTGAAAAATTATGACAATCCGTATTTATTTGAACCTTTCTCTGAAAGCATCTACAATCATGAAGATTGGATACTTTTGTGCATGTCTTTCTGTCTTTCAGAGGACAAAAATATTTCTATCTCAAACTCCGCTTCATCCTTTGAGGTGGAACCATCAGAAAGATTTCTTAATTTAATAGTTTTTTCCCATCTTTTGGTAGATGTAAATGCAGAGTGTCCAGATCTGATACTAGCCAACTCTGCTTACTGCCAGCAACTCCCGCGGACAAACTGTGTAGGACAAGGTATATATATGATAATATTACAGCTGCTGTATGCGGGGTTAATTTTCCTCTGTCACACTTGTGAGCAATTAATTCCCATTTTAAAATTTCCTAGACACAGTTATGTTAAAAGAGAGATAAAAGGTCTCTGTTGAATTTGCCCCCTTTTGAATTCATCCAGACTGACAAGAAGGCCAAAGAAGCAAATATAATATATGGATGGAAATTTCTTTATACACTGTAGTAAATCTGGAATAAAAGTGTTCCTGAATTTTGTCACATGAAGTTGAGCAATTTTACATTATAAAATCATTGAGGGACACCTGTGTTTATACTTCAGATACTTGTCTGTCTATAAATGCACCAGAGTGCACAGCTCTTGGACTAAAATATACTACCTTGCCAAATGTATTTGGACACAGAGATCTTGATACTGCCAAAGCATATTTTGATCAACTCAAGCAGCAGAGCTGTTCAGAAACGGCTTTAATCTACTCATGCATGATGCTTTTTCCACCCTGTGATTATGCAACAGGAGAAGTGAAATATGCTTGCAAGGAAGACTGCCTAGGTATACATCAATGTTAAACCCAGAAATCTGTGTTACTTTGTATTTCTTTTGATATTTGATGGTTGAAAATGTTTTACAGTGTTATAATTTACAATGTAGTGTATGTACTTTTGTGATATTTGTTGCAGCCATCAACCAGGAATGTGGAAATGGAACCCAGTTAGCCAATCCTTTGTATTGTAACCAGCTCCTTGATATCAGCTCTGGTAGATGTTCTCCAGTAACCTCCGTCACAACCACTACCGCTCCAACCACCACTACCACTGTCGCTCAAGGTGAGGTCCATTCCCAAAGATGCCCCATCATTATAAAATTTTCAGTCGCTTTCATATGAAAATCAATTTGATTGGCTCATGACTAATGAAGACCCTGAAATCCTAAGATCACTTGCGAGATTCCTTGATAACCTACCTTAACTGAAGAATTTGAATATGGGGAAGTATATCTATGTATGGCAATATATCATCTCTTTTGTTCTTTGATATGCATATACATTTACATATTCCAGTTACTTGACTATATATTATTATAACATATACAATATGTATATTCAGTACATCTCTTGTAGATGCATTTATCAACGATTAAACAATTAAGCACTGCTCATTATATTTAAGATCAGATTTGTTCTATTATTTGGATCCTCCTCCTTCTTTCATTTCATATGTGTAAATCTTTTTTGCTCCTCTGGGGGCCCAAATTGGACTAATAAAATCTTGTTTCTTGTATTGAACAGTCTTTGTTTTACATGAATGTAATAAATGATAGCTACTTTTTGCTTGGTGTGATTTGCTGCAACTGCATGTGTATATTTAATTAATTTTTTTTCTGTTGCTCTCTTTAAGATATCTGTATGGAACTACCAGTGCCTGAATGTCGGTCTCTTGGCCATAACAAAACACTGCTACCTAATGGATTTGGACACACAATGAGTGATGCTCGATCCCTGTTTGACTTGTTAAAGGACACTGCCTGCTCTCAGAGTGCTATGTACTACCTGTGTACCTTTTTGTTTCCTGGCTGTGAAGTAAATGTCCAAAGATATCCCTGTAGGGAGTATTGTCTAAGTAAGTTCCAGTACTAACTACTGCTTTAAAAAATGACCAAAAATCTTTACAACTTTTTGATGGAAAATATTCACTAGTGAAGGCAATATGCCCTTCTATTGCCATATATATTGTATCAAATAAAAATGTGACGCAGTCTGTGAATTATTCAAAATGGCATTTTGTTGCAGATGTACAGGCGGAATGTGGTGTTAACTTTACCCTGGCTAGTGATCAGTATTGTTATCGTTTTTCTGATCAGGGCTGTATAAGCTCCTTCCCTGGGGTCATTACCACTGTGACCCCCACCGCAACTACCCAACCAAGGCCAAGAGAAAGTAGGTCCACATAAGAGGTCATGTAAAATCAGAATAGCTTTAATTTGCAAAATCTTCTCTTTTTTTTTTTGTAAATCACTTAGACCTATTGGGAATCTTACAAAAAAAAAAAATTAACATATATTTAAAAAAAAATGATTTAACTCGGATAAGCTGAATTGAAACATGTTGATTTCTAATTCAATTCCTTGAATGATGTATTTTGTTTGAATAAGTTGATTTCTTATATGATTGTTTCTATGACAGATTGCAGTGAGACTGAACAGTACACTTGCCCTGGTGATGGCCACTGTATAATGAAAAAGTGGCTATGTGATGGGGAACCTGACTGTCAGGACCAATCAGATGAAGCCAACTGCAGTAAGTGTTTAATTTCTAGACCAATCAGATGAAGTCAACTGTAGTGTTTAATTTCTGGACCAATTAGATGAAACCAACTGCAGTAAGTGTTTAATTTCTAGACCAATCAGATGAAGTCAACTGTAGTGTTCAATTTCTGGACCAATCAAATGAAGCCAACTGCAGTAAGTGTTCAGTTCCTAGACCAATCAGATATAAGCCAATTGCTTTTCAAGTAAAGCTTACTGCATAAGTACTTAGAAGGAAATGTCTAGACCAGTCAGAGGAAGCCAGGTGTGGTGGGTCATCAATTTTTAAACCAATCAGATGAACCTGACTGCAGTGGGTGGTGAATTTTTAGACCAATCAAATGAGTTGACTGCAGTGTCAGTAGACTGGGTCAAGACTAATCAGATGAAGCTAACATCAGTAAATGGTAAAATGTCTATACATGTACTAATATCTGGTGAGTCCAGCTGCAGTGAATAGTCAAATTGTAGAATAAGCAGATGGACAGCCACATTAAGTTGTCAAGACACCAGTCAGAGAAAGGCAAAGTTATGACACAGATTTCTGACCAATCTGATGTTCTGTACAAAGTAATATTATAAATTCAAAGCCAACCATACTAAGTACAGTAGTTTTAATTACATGATAAATGTACATGTACATTGTATTTTGTATTTTTTTTTAAGGATATGCTTGACCTGTGATTGATTTGAATCTAATGGGTAATTAAAACTTGTATCTATTTGTAACAAGTTTTATACAATTTTGCATGATTACATACATTGTAGGTTCATGTTCAAGTACTGAGTTTACCTGCCTAGATAGAACCTGTGTCCCAGCTCAAGAAAGATGTAATAAAGCTCCAGCTTGTCCTGACCAATCAGATGAAAGGAATTGTGGTATATTAATACCTCTATATGTATATTAAAGATGCATTTGTTTTTGTTTTATCTAAATACTACGAACAAATTTTCTTTCATAAGTTTTTTTTGCTGTGGCTTTAAATTAAATGTAACTTGGACAGTTTTCCATCATTATTTTCATCCCAATTGTATTTGTTTCAAAAGTTCTATAAAACTATGACATTTTCATGCAGTGGAACTCATTATCTCTCCATTTCTGTAAAACAGAGATTTGTTGCAAGAGAAGGAAGAATAGATTTATAGTTCTGAGTTAGAAAAGAGAAAATCATAGTTATTGTCAAAGGAAATATTCATCTTTTGTTTGAGATGGCTGATTATTGTTAAAATAATAGCATCATGAGAGAAATATTGCCAAGAGGTTGTTTAATGTTTGACAGTAAGCTTAACCACCCAGTCTATCCTGATGCTGCCGTATCAAGAGAGGAGCCTACCACTGTGTTATCAGTCATGGTCGGATAGCTATGGAGATGAAGTCTGTCGGGGTCTTGGACTAGGGTAAGTGGAAAATCTGAGGATATTTGTGTGATTGATTTCTTCACTTTTCATCCCTGGTGAGGAATTTGAGGGGGATATAGTAGAGCGCTTATTTGTGTATGGTAGAGTGAGTGTGTGCATAGCGGAAGTTACGCAAGTAATAATTTATGCAGGGATCAATGTGCTCTTTCTCAAGATAATGATCCGCTTTGCAGTGCCCTTGTTAGAATAAAAAATAGGAGCAAATTTGTAAAATTGAATACAATTTCTATGTTACCAAATTTAACAGAAAATTACAATTAAATACATGTACAAGGTAAACTGATGGTTTTCTGTTTATTTTGGCCTGGATAAAGCCATTAATAAATAATCATGAAATAAACAATACAAAGAAGTGAAAAGGTGAAAAGCATTAATTTCAGGTCAATATTTTAGAAACAAATTGGCACTCTTGGCTCTTTTGATATTTTCTAATGCAGATAATCATTATCTTCCAGGAACTTTACTTATTCCAAACCTGTCACATATTACAACCGTGACTTTGTTCACCTGGACAATAATGGACAGGTACCATCTTATCTAGGAAACATAATTGTCAGGTAAATATGATGTGTGTTCCTTCATTGTCCTGTACATGCAGAAAAGCATTCTAGAGAAATAAATTCAGTTGGTTACGTTTTTGGTTTTGGTTTTGTTCCTGGTTAATTTTGCAGCAAAATTAACCAGGAAAATTAATGTTTCAAAATGCTTATGGATATGGGACCTAGAGTAGATACATTCATATTCAATATTATTCATCGTCTGTTTTTATATTTATTTTATTTTTGGAATTTTGTATAAGATTGAATGAATTAAAATAAAATAAAAAAACTTTAACTTTATTTTTCCCAGTATTTCCCAATATTTCCCAGTATAGAGAAAATTTGTAGTATTTCCCGGGGCGGGAAATACCGATATTTACCAGTGGTAATTCCCACCACTTGTATTTCCCGGCCAACCCTGATTTTGCTTACTTTTCAAAGGATATTATCTTGCTTCTGATTTAAAGAGCCATTTATGAATGACTTACAGCATACTTGAGTCTAATATTCTTATTGTAATATGATATTGTCTCTTTAGATGCATGAATTTATTAAGCTTTCTGATTTGCATCATTTCTACATGTATGCATTATAAAAAATTTACTATGTTTAGAAAAATTAATGTACTTTAAAATCTCATATTTTCGTGGGGTTAAATTTTTGTGGTTTGAGGAAAAAATACAAGTTCATGGGGAGTCATGGATGAAGAATTGTTAAGTAGTTATACATATGAGATATTTTATATTTGGTGATGGACATGAATTTGTGGGTCTCTTCATACCTCGAAAACAACGAAAATTACCCCCCTCCCATGAAAATTAGTGATTTTACAGTAATTCTTACATCCCTTTGCAATGTAATATTGTTACAGGTCTGAATGCCAGAATGCTCAGGTGGTGGAATTGAAGTGTAAGCCCAGAGGTAAGCATCATCTTTTTCAATTTTTTACAGCAGCAAAATGTCATAATAAGAATTTTTGACAATATATGACATTTCTGATGTATTTGCAATCTTGTTTGAATTTTTAGGTTGTGGTCAGCGATTGGTCGGTTCCTCACAGACCGGCTTTATAATTGGGGGAAATGATGCTGTTCCTGGTCACTGGCCCTGGCAGGTGTCTCTCCAAATAAAGCTGGGGGATAATGTGAAACATATCTGCGGGGGCTCTCTAATTGCCCCAAACTTTGTTGTCACAGCCACTCATTGTCTGTAAGTTGTACTGAATTAGCAAAGCTAAATATAAAATGACATGTCAATTTGTATGACACTTTTTTTGAATACACAATGTACTATAACAATTTTTTTTCCCCCTAAAATTACAGAACTATTCTCGTGGAAAGAAATGTACTGCTTGGAGCTACAAATCGGGGTGTTGTTGAAATCACACAGAAGCAATATGGAATAAAAAGAATCATCCATGCAAATGATAGATTTGTAAAGTATGGACCAGGGGACATAACTCTGTTTGAGCTAGATGACACAGTCAAATATACACCTTACATCCAGCCAATTTGTTTCCCGAAGGAAGGGGAGAAATTTACTGAGACCTCCATTTGTTATGCTACAGGCTGGGGGTTCACTTCACCAGGGGGTATAAATATTTATATTTGTATATAGAATTTATTATAATATTTCACTTTTATCTAATTTATACTGTAAAAATTTCGTTTATTTCTTTTATAACAATTATCAATGACATTAAATTCCAAAGGAAATTCTTATTTGCTTGTGTATTGATTTTTATTTGATATTGGTTACTTTTAAAACACGAAATTTAATCCCCATGAAACCATTATAGATAACAAATCAACAAAATTTTATCCCCACAAAAATTTCTGCTTCTACACTATCATTTTATGATATGAATTTTGTTTAATAATTTTACATCCTCTCATGTATGTCTTAAATCCGAAAATCCAACGGTATAATTATGAATTAAAAGCAATAACATTGGACCAAACAACAAATAATTCTAATATATAATGCAGAAATCATTAGTTTTGGAGTGTCAAATACATGTCTTGTTTTACCAAAATGAGAGAGAGAAGAATGGCACAAAAAATTAGATGTTCTGAACTAGCTGATCTTGCATTTATAACATTTTTCTAACAGATACGTCCTATTCAAAAATGCTAAAGCAGCTGAAGATGCGATTGTGGGATACCAAAAAATGTAACAGCTCAAGTCACTGGAACGGAAACATTACTGGCGGCTACATATGTGCCGGATACGAATCCAGCCTTAAGTCTGTGTGCACAGTATGTACAAGTTAATCATGCTATTAAGATTATCTAAAGAATTTGTATATTTGATCATAAGATCCCAAAATTATGCTTTTGACATATTGTAGTTGGGGAGAGAGGGTTTTTTTTAATTATTAATGGTATATGTTTGAGTTTTCTAATTAAAATTTAATTTATTTTTAGGGAGATAGTGGTGGCCCCTTGGTGTGTAAGGATAATGCTGGAATCTGGAAACTTGTCGGCATTTCCAGCTTTGTCTCCATCAACTGCAATGTATCACACCTTCCCAATGTTTTTACTGATGTCAAGACTTATCTCCCCTGGATTAAATCCCAAATAGGTATTGTTCTATGTCAATACACCTGGTAAATTTCTCTACCAATTAAATATTCCTAATCTTATTTATTTGGATGAACATGCATAGTATAATGTATTGTTTGGTACATGTACAAGTAAATACATTAATGCTATTCTCTCTACTTCATATATGTTTATACATATAAAGGGATACCCTTATACACAAACATGTACATGTATGTAAAGAGATGTCATTTTTAAGATCTCTTGTATTTTAATTTCAGAGTGTAAATTCCAATGTGACAATGGAAGGTGCCTGTATGACAATGATTTGGTGTGTAATCGACAAAATGACTGTGGTGATAACTCAGATGAAACCAAAATCTGTGGTAAATATAGAGGTCTTCTGAGGCCAAAATAGACTGTTATAATGATCTTAATTAGACAAGATGATGCTGTACTCTATGAGCTGATGTTAAAGTTTTGTTACAAGCTCTTTCCTGAACTTGATCATTCTTTTCTTAAAGTTAACAGTCTTTTATCAGATACAGTTATAATCACTTAAATTTCATGTTACATATACTTGTAGTCACTTATATTTTGTGTTGGATATGCAAGAGCAAGTAACCACTTAATTTTTTTTGTGCTATGTATACTAGTGAATTTTTTTTATAAGACAGTTGCATTAAGTTTATTCATGAAACATCAGGTTCTTGTGCTCTACATATGCTCAAAGCTTAGAATTTTTTTCCATTATTGTTAGAGAAACCTTTATTTTTTTCATGAGTAGAAAAATATTGCAAAAAGTAGGTGGAAAAAGAGTTCATAAATTCTGATATACAAATGTGCTATGACAATGTGTATTTTTTTCAGATATTTCTGTTAACTGTACCTTTGATGACAATTATCTCTGTGGATACAATGTTTCTGGATTCATCTGGAGCTACGGATCCAATAATTCCCAAGCACAGTCCAGTTTTCCCTGGACTGACCACACCATTGGTCATTATCCAGGTACAAGATAAATTTCTTTCTCCTAAATGTGTGCCAAGAAAAATAATAACAACATTAGTACTACAGCTTAAAATTGATATCAAACTTTGTTTTCTAGGACATTACGTGCTTGGAAAATTTGGATTCATGTCAGAGGCAATTCTGACATCTCCGAAATTCCAGACAATTTCTCAGTCCTGTGTAAGATTCCACTACAATCGACGAGGAGAGTTGTATGATAACATGCTGGTCCAGACCATTGAGTACAGTCCTACAGGCACAGCCTACCCAGCTAATACCCAGTACTTAATTGGTCCTGGGAGTTATGAGGACAATTGGAGGATAGGTTTCTTTGACCTGAGTGCTGGGACATACCAACTAGTGTTCAAAGTCACGGATAAACTGAAGACTGCAATAGATGATGTGCAGGTCATTCCAGGAACTTGTACTGAAAAAGGTGAGTGGCTTTTTGAATACTGATTAAACTAGGGAACTTTTTTTTATATAATCCCATGTGCTGCAAAAAATTTTTAAAAAAATGTTTTCTTCATGGGACATTGAATTTGAAAGCAATGGTCAATCCTGTCTGGAAGTTTGATAAATATCCTTTATATTTTTCTTAGTGTGTGATGCTAATTTGTTCCGATGTGCAGATGATAAGGGTATCCCTGTTTGTTTGCCTCCATCCTCCCAGTGCAATGTAGTGAAGGAGTGTAACAAAGATGAGCTCAATTGTCAAGGTAGGAACTGAAACAATAGAAGAAATGTAAACGATGAACAAAAAGGATTGTGGCAACTTTAAAAAAGATGCCTAATTCTTTTGATATTTTTTGTTAATTTTTTTTTATTTTTTTGAATATTTCTTTTTGTGGATTAAAACACTTTTTTTGACACTTTTTTTTTCAGCCAATGTCTCAAAGTATAACTGTGATTTTGAGAAGGCAGTGCAGTGTGGGATATCACAAACTACTCTAGACAAAGGAGAATTTTTATTGACGAATGGATCCTACCTAAGGAAGGTGGTACTGTTTCAAGAGGCCTTTAATGAGCACACTAACAATGATCCAGATGGTAAGACTTAATCACATGGAAAAAAAAACACAACTTTAGTAAAACATGCTTATAATGAAGTGCCAGGGACGGGTAATTTTGCTTCGTTATAAATGTAAATTGTTATATTCATTAGCTTCACAATATGTTTAAAATCCACAGGGAATGAAAATCACTTTGCTATAAGCATCAATTCATTATAAGCATGTTTGCTATAAGGGTGTTTTACTGTAGTGCCTTAAGAAAAAAGTAACTTTACAAAATCACTCATATACATGTACAGTCAAAATCATTATCTCGAACCATTGAGCTGAGGGAAAAAAGTCTTTAAGATATCGGAGAATTCAAGATATATTGAGGTTAAATACTGAAACAAAATAAGACTGGGACTTCCAACTCACTTCAACATGTTCTGGTAGCTGAGAAATCAATGAGAGAATGAAGTTCAACTGTACTTGTATATTCCTTAAGTGGTACTACTAAATGTATGTTTTATTACTGTAGGGTGGATGTTGTTTGCGTTAACCAATGGACATCAGCTGATCGGAGACAATGTCACAATGACCCAGAATCTAGTTTTGAATAATCAGCTGTTCTGCCTGACATTCTTTTATCGAGCCAGCACAGACATGACATTTAAGGTATCATTATATTTTCTTGTAAACAGGCAATATATTTTCTATAAAGTACATTTATTTGACAATAAAAAGAGAAAAAAATATAAAGTCAATGATTTTTTTTTCTTTTGAGTGTAGTTCAAGCAATTTCAGTAAGTTGAAATGTACAATACATGCACCTGGAGTTTCAAACTGGCAGCTTGTTAATTTTACTGCATGTCACATGGAAAAGATATTTTTTTCATTAAATTTTTCTTCACGTCTGATGTTGATTTTTCTCTTAAAACAGGTGAGTCTGAAGACTGCAGATGGCATGTATGAGTTATGGAACTTTACTGACAGAAGCACATCTGATTGGACAAAAGCCCAGATGCAGCTCCCTCTGGTGTCTGATGCTGATCTGACTTACCAGCTTGTCAGACTGTCTCCAGCCTCGAACAAGTACTACAAAGCCTACATGGCTATTGATGACATCAGTATAACACCAGGGGAATGCCCCAACTATGGTAGGCTCCAGATATCTACTTAATTCAGATAGCAAAAACGTTCATTCTATATGATAGGAAAATAATTTGTGCTAAAATGCCATGCATATTATTCACATTTGAAAAAAAAAAAAGCCCAGAGTTGCTTTACTTCTGAAGGTATTGTGTCTTTTGAGCCTAGTCCGGCCAATTTCTATGGAACCACTGGTGTCCGGATTAGACAAGTTCTAGCTACTGCATGTTGAAATCCTCTTATGTATTGTCTCCAACAAAACATTCTGTGTTACATGATAGTCTTTTCAAGAGAGAGATATCAGATTCAATATGAATTGTATATTTACATGTACGTGTATATACTTTTTTTCAGATTGTCCTGCAGGAACATTAAAATGTGCATCCGAGAATTACTGTTACCCAAACACAAGTCGCTGCAACAGAATTGTGGACTGTCCTGACGAATCTGATGAAGCAAACTGCTGTAAGAAAAACACTGAAAAATCTATTACCTATAATATATTACCTGTAATGTTGATACATTTGGGAAACTTTTATTCCTTAAGTACTTAGATTTTTATTTTCCATCCAGCTTGTAGCAGTACTGAGTTTTCTTGTAACAATGGCCGCTGCATCCCACAATCCTCCATCTGTGATACGAACGCTGACTGTTTGGACAGATCTGATGAGGGAGCCATTTGTGGTGAGTACTTTTTGGGAAAATATCTGAAAACAATACACACTGAGAGATTTCAAGGTCTTGTATCTTTATCTTCAGCTTTAGTGTTCAAAATTGAGTTACTGTTTGGTGTTTTATTTTCAATCTGCATAAGACACATACTCAATTTATCTTTTTTTTCATTTTTTTTTTTTTTTGTTCATTTCAAGATCTTTATTAATTTAAAGATTCCTCAAAACCAATGGACAATGACATGTTGTTCACATCTCTTTCATAAATCATATCTAATCCCAATTTATGCTGCTGTCTTTGTGTTTTATGAATTCAAGATCAGTTTTGTCAAGGTCATTGAGAATGAGCCATGGATAAAATGTGATGTGTATTAGGGCACTGAATTTTACCTTTTTTTTTTTTACAGACTCTCTCCGCAGTGTGACTTGTACATTTGTGAACCTTTTCTCGTGTGGGTACATGTCAAATGAGGGCAGGTTTACTTGGCTGAGGTGGAGTGGGAGTACCCCATCATTTTTCACTGGTCCTACATTTGATCACACAATAGGGGATACAACTGGTAAACTTAGATAATATCAGTAGAAGCTTTTTCAATGCTGAGAGTTTTCATTTTAGTAAATTTATGAGTAAAAAAAAATTTCCTATTTTTTCCACATTGGATCTGCTACTGTAAGCCTTTGTTCAAATTGAATATTGCTTTTATTTTCTTGGTGCCAAGACAGAGGTCTTTGTACATTTACTTCTTATCATCTAATGGTAATCAATTGTTTGTTGTTTTTCCCTCAGGACACTATTTCTATGCAGAGGGCAATGCAGGATATGCTGGTGATGTTGCAACGTTAACATCTCCGAATTTCACAACTGGAGTTGGTCAGAGTCTTGGATTCTATTACCACATCCTAACTGAGAGTGTCTTTTACAACATCCAGTCAGAGGGTTTGTCTATTGTGGCTCAGTATTCAGATGGGCAGAGTTTTCAGCTGTGGTGGCAAAACCAAACATCTGGCAATGAATGGGCATATGGCTGTGTCAACCTTCCAGATAACACTGAATTAAATATTCAGTTTGTGGCAAAGAGGATAGGATTGGATAATAAGGGAATATTTGATGCTGATATTGCTATTGATGACATTGCATTACTGCTTTTGCCATGTTCTGGTGGTAAGAGAACTAATTAGTTTCTGTTGAAGAAAGGGGGTGAGGTATTATTTTCATAAAATCACATCATTTGTGCTTGCCTCATACAGTATGCATCTATGTATACAATGTACATACCCTTTGTATTGTATATGAAATGTAATATAAGGAAAGACTTCAAAGATCATAAAATCATTTTAAGATTACCTAGGGTGTCACAAAGATAAATGTTTTGACTTATGTTGCTGTTTAGGATGAGAAAATACTTTAGTTCTTCAGTAGTTTGTAAAATGTAAGCAAGATTACTTGTACACATATTAATGTTGTTGTTCTTTTCTTTCATTAAATCAGTAGATGGAACAAGCATTTCAACTCCAAAACCACCAGGTATTTTTTAAACACCTTTAAATTCAAAACATCATTATTCTCAAATAATAAAAATTCACAAATCAAAGATTTTTTTTTTTAAATTTGTAATGTTTATTTAAGTGCAGAAATGGGGAGGATTATAATCTGCTAATTACATGCAGCTATTTATTCATTATTAATGTATTTTTATTTCTTTGTTTTCTGATATAGATGTATCAGACACTACAACAACTTCAGAACCAGGTAAATATGTGCATACACATACACACAAAGACATAGTGAAATATAGAAAATACTCGCATATTCACTCACACTTGAAGTACAGTTTATAGCAGCATACAACATGTATTAATTTTTGTGGTACATTTTATACCCCTGCTTGAAAAGTGGGGGGGGGGGGGAGAATATATAATGATGGGGATGTCAGTCCATACTTCCTTCCATCCCTACATCCGTACACTTAGGAGGAGTCATCTCATATGTGCAACTCCACCTATTAATGAGACTATAACAGATTCTTTATTACATTGTGCACCTCCCATTTTACATATCGATTAAATAGATATTTCAGGTTTCCCTTAACAAAACATGGACATTGCCATTCTTTCTTCAACATTGGGGTTACCCATCTCTTATCCGCAACTCTTCCTATACAACTTAATAAGATTTAATTATGAGACTTTCACAGAATCTTTTTAACATTGTGCCATTACGCACCTCCAATTTTACACATTATTTCAATCGGACAGATTTTGGGTTTTTCTTTCATATAAAAAAATGGACTTGCCATTATATGGGAGTGGTGGTATTATTTTGTGAGCTCAGTGCCCACAGCTCCTCTTAGTTTAATTGCAAAAGCACAACATCTTAAAGATGAGAAATTGAACACAATCATTTGTAGTAAATTTTTGTGTTTATAATAGTTGGATCAAAATACTCTTTTATTTTTCAGAATGTGGCTTCAGATGCAACAATAATTACTGTATCAATGCAAATCAACGATGTGATGGTATGAATGACTGCCGAAATGGTGAGGATGAATACAACTGTCCGTCATAAAGGTAGACTACGGCACTATACTTTATAGGTAGATCTGTCTGATGGGTGCTCATTCAATTACACAGCGTTACTGTACAGGTTGGTCTGCTGAAAGGTGCTGTTATAAACATTACATGGTTGTTGTCTCTATATATATTTAATGTGATATTTTGATTTTATGATGACTATTCTTTGGATGTATTTTAATTAATGGTAAAAATTCAAATCATTTTATATTTATATTGCATCTTTGAGGTTTGTTCCTAGATTGGCCAATAGCTGTCTATGTTCTTAACCTTTGAACTTTTATTTTACAATGACAATTGTTCAGTTATTATCATTTTACATGATTGTACATTATGCATCATCACAGTTTTTAAGTTTAAATATTTTTCATTCAAATAATGCTGGTGTATTTGTAAATAATTACTTTATATACATGTATATCAAAATGGCATTTAATAAATTTACATATCATTGTAAATAGTTTGCAAAATTATTAATGCATCAGATCAGAATGGACTTAATGTACATTATTATATGAGACATTATCTGTGCCAAACGCAATCATACACTGTATTTTACTTCATTGATGTGTGGAAGTTTGTATTTTAATGTATGTAAAATTATGTGGAGTAAATCAGAAAATGTAATGAAATGAGAAAATATGTATTTTTGAGGCTTGTCAATCAGCAAACACTTGATATGTATATTTGTGCTATATAAATCTGACACAGCAATATTGCATGCATTTTTTTGTCATATATTTCAATCATATCATTTTTTTTCTTATGCATATCTTCAGAAATAATTCTTTTTTGTAAAAGCCATGACATTACTAGTCACAAATTTGTTATATGTATGTCACACAGACAAATTCATCGCCTAGTTGATATTTTTAATTCATAACTGCATTCTCATTTCCAAAAAAAAATCAACTTTTAACAAAGTTTGTTTATAATAGAAATTTAAAAAAAAAAAAGTAAAATCATTTCCTCTTTATTTTATAATTTGAATAACTGTTGCTTCACTGATCATGCAGGCATAGATCATTACAGAACCAGCAGAACTCGGTACTAGTTACACTTTTGGAGTGAATTTAACCTTTTAAAAAAAATCTTAAAGTTTGTTGAATATGTAAATTTTATGTTTGACACTATCATTGTCTAAATATTATTCAATAATTATGTCCAATAAATTATTTATAGCAATGTGTGTGGATTTCTTCTTTCTTGTTTGAAATTGAAACTGGCAAAGTTTAAACTTTTTTTCTGACACAAACACACTATTCTGTCTGTAATAGTTCATCTAAGCGAAAGAAAGATAACTCCTGCGTATCATTGAATATTTGGGTTACCTACTCTTGGCAGACCTTATCGGAGCTCCTCATCACAATCTAGCCTCTGCAAAGCCAGAGGATATCCGATCATTGGCTTTGCAGAATGGCGGGAATACTTGTTTGGGGAGTTATCAGTTGAGAGTGGAACGTAGTCGTGTTTTAAACTGTCATTGATTTCAGGGACAAGTTTTGTTGACACGGTTGCAGATGAGTTGTAAAGAAGTTGGTATTCATTGTAATTCAGTTTCCAAACATGTTGACACTTATTTTTAGCGTGAATCACAGGGGCTAGGTTATATTATGACCGCAACCAGGGATTGACACTAACTTTTAAACCATAGTTGCCCGCAGGGCTAGCAATTTCTAATTTCTACTAGCCCTGGTCATGAATTAGTTGTCCAGCAGCCACTGGTTGCTGGCCGAGTCGCGAAGCGACGAGGGGGGTAGGTGCGGAAGGGGCTTTCCCCCTCTTGTGCATGCTGGTGGGGGTACGAGGGGCCTCCCCCGGTAAATTTTAAAAATAAAGATGCCAAATTCTGCATTCTGGCTACATTTTTGGGTAAAATTATATGTCACTTCATGACTGAGCAAAAGTCGTTTTATTGAAAAATTCCACATACAGTCATTTAGGGTATACCGAATTATTTTTACATTTTGAATGCAAACAGTCTGATTAAAAAGTCCGTAACTGGTTATTTAGAATTAAAGAGGAGTAAGGTATATGAAAAACCAGATCTACATTAGAAGTCCATCCTTGATACAGTCAAAAATGATAATAAAAATGTATGAAAATGAATTAAACTAATTTGATAATGTTTAGTTAAGATATCAGAAACAAAGTATTATAATTTCTGTATTTAACATGAATGTACCGGCATGCTTGTATAGATCTGTGTGAAATGTATTTCGGTGTATGATAAAAAGATCAACACTGACCAATACATGTATATACACGGGCTAATCTTTAATGGCTGTTGCTTTTTCATACTTTAGCTTTTATATTCCTTGCATTTAAAGAAAGCTACATGTAACAAAAAATTTCTGACATATTCAGCAAGTGTGCAGCGTGTGCAATTTTTTCGGTTGCGGTCATGTACACACGTGATTCGAAATAACCCAATTGTAGAGGACTACAAATGCAGTAATTATTTTTTTTTAATTTTGAGGTGTCAAAAACAATAAATGTTCATGGAAGCTTTTAAAATTGCCGTTCTATCAATCTGTCAATTCCTAATGCATCGTGTTTCACCCGCCAACAATGCTACGACATGGATGAGGAAAACCATGCAACATTTTCAACACGAATATTTCTTCAATAAGGATAATTTAATCAATTAAATTGCTAATTTTTAATTAGCACATGATGTTTATCTCTCTAATTTTTTTTGTATCTGATAAGTCTTTTGATAACTGGTTGGTTGTCACACATGTGGATGTGTCGTGCAATGTACAGCGATAAGTTAAGTTACCGAGAATCGCGAAACACGAGGTGATTCAGAAAGTAACAAAATCGGGACTTGTGCGATTTTTAAATTAATTTTTACATGCTCCGCGTTAGTGTTTGGTAATAAATTGCAATAGCCCTGCAGGACAAGCTCGAAGACATGTTTAGTAGCCCGAACTCAATTTTCAGGTGTCCCGGGCTAGCAGGCTACCAGAAGTGTCGAACCCTGGCAACTATCGTGGCCACCACTACAAAATATTAAAACATAAACATGTATTTTATAGTGTATGGTAAGAAGACAAATAGTATGATGAGCTTTTTGCATAAATGTATCAGTGCAAAGCATGGAATTCTTGAACAGCTGCTGAATACGGTGACAGTGGTGCTCACAGGTGTCCCGGGGGACCCAAGACTGCCGTAGATACCCTAAATCTCGAGCAAATCGAGAACATATAATAAAGTCTTTTTTTAAAAAAATAGAAATATAAGAACATAATAGTAATGCAAGTTTCTGGTCACAGCTAGTTTATTTTGCACCCTAATTGGAGAGTAATAATTAAGATGGCATAAAATATTATTTTAAAAAAATACTAGGGACTTGGAAGAGGTTTTAATTTACTATGAAGTGGGAAAATTCTTTGGCAGATGTTTCTAGGAGAATTATTTATCTTATAGAAACATTCCTTTTGTTAAGGTTGTTAAGCTAGAGTGATGTGTTTTAGCATTCTACCTTTCCATACAGTCAAGTGTTGGTTCACAAGTGCCCACCATAAATAACAATTGAAGTAATTCATTCCACGAATCTCTGCGTTATCATTCCCAGTGTTTTTGACCTGTTGTAAAATTTGTAACCAAAGTGCTTTGGAAATTCAAATTAAACAATATGCTGGAAATATTTGTTGCAAAAATATGCAACAAGGTTAGAAAAAAGGTGAATTTAATGGCAGTCTTTAGGAATTTACAATTGGATTGATATGTGTGAATCACCGAGTATAATCTTGATTTAACAGATTTATTGAACGTGTACAAGATTCTCGGAAAAGTGAAACAGCTAGTATATGAGAAATGGAGAGAAATGCTTCATTATATGCTCATAAAATTCAAAATTTTTACAAATATTTTGCAGTGTTGCTTCATTGAATGATTCATCATAGGGTGTTTGATAATATATAAAACCGAAGATTTTTTTGATTATATATAAAATTTGCCAATTAATTTTGGTAGCTGAAGTTATTGCATCTAGTAGATAAACTCAAAATACATTGATAGTTTTTGATAGATTTATGAATTAATACTAACTTTTATGACATGCTTTTTTTTTAAATTTAAATTGGCAAAAACTAGAATCCAAATGGAAAACAACTTTTTTTGTACAAAAATTGATTCAGTAGGAATTGTTTCTTCGAAAAGGGGTAGAAATTTACTACATATACAATTCACAAATAATCATCTTTTTTTTTCTTACTCTAAATGAATGAAAATTAAATTATAAGGAATGAATTTAATGGCTACACAATTTATATGGTATAAACTGGGTTGGAACAGTTTATGCTTTTTTATAAACCGCTTTCGCAGTTTATAAAGCGCAAACTGCCCCAACCCAGTTTATACCGTATAAACCGAGTAGCTATTGAATTAATTCCTTAATTATTAAAAACAAATAGATTCATAAAATAACTATCACCATCAGCACCGTCTTCCATCTGTCGTTTAAAAAAACTCAAGAAATTTTCAATGTGCTGGTTCAATAAAAAAAATGGTGGATGTAGACAGTTACTAAAGAGTGAAAGACTAAAAGCGGAATGGAACAGTCAATTTTGTTGAGGGGGTTGGGGGGTGGGGGCTAATGTTACGATGAAAAAAGTCAACTCAAAAGTTTTTGCGAGTCACAAAGATTTTAACTTGCAATTTGGATATTCTGATATGTGAGTTGTATCTAGTGAATTTCGAACCTTGTTATAATTTTAATGAGATTTACTTTGTTGTGTCATTTGCAGTATACCCTGCAGAACAACTGACCTGGGTCACTTGCCAGAGATTGCTGTGATTGCCAAGTGGTACATATGTAGTACAGACTAGGGATTTAAGAAATAATATGTACATGATCATACTAAGTATACCTTTAATAAAGTATTTATTCCTTCACTGAGTAAAGTAAAGATATGGGTATATTAATTACAAAGCCTACATACAGATATTTAAAAGGATAATTAATGGGTTGATTAACACTACAAGACAATTTATATAGAAACATTAAACTCAGATTTGCTAAAAATCTCATCAGTGCTCAGCGATATCAATTATGTATTTAATCTATTTACAACCTTACAGGCCCTAGTCCTAGTGGATTGTTAGACATCTCGATAGATACCATGGTTAAAGACTTGATGAAGTTAAATGCTCTATGAGGTCCCTTTATTGCTTCACATTTTTAACACTTGGTATATCTGTAATTTCAGATGGATGCCTGAGTAAGAAGTTTAAAAGATAAGCCGTCAGAGGTATTGTGTCCTGAGCCTAATCTCACGCAGGTAAGTTTACCTGCACACAACGACGTTATTGCTGGTCGTTAAGTAATCAGCCAATGGAGATTTAATATTGTTTTATTGTGGAGCTAATTTGAATCAGGAGAAAATAGCATTGGATGGTGCATGGATGACTTGAGTTGTAATATAAAAAATAATTGATATAAAACCAGGATTTATATATTTCTTTGGGAAAAAGGTAAGGTTGGTCATCTTTAAATCTAAATGTCATTGGCTGCATAAACTATTCGTACGTTTCTTCAAGGCTCTTGGTTAAACTGTGTCTTAGAAATACAGAGATAAAACAATACATCTGATTCCATACAGAAGACTTCAGTCATTATCTGGAAAATTTATTCTACCTGAATTGAAAATATGCCAGATGTATATTGGTTAAAAATGTACATGTAATCTTTATACACAATTATTAAGTTTTTAAACTTGCAAAGTTTTTTTTATCTACATGTATAATGTATGTACACAGCTTAGTTGCACTTATTCCCCATACACATCTAGAAAGAATTTACATGATAGAACACTGGTAATGCCCAATTTAAGGGACAACACTTTTTGCACATAAGATTTTTCTTACCAAGTTGTTGGAGATTCAGAGGTCCGAGAAAAATCTACATGTCTTAGAATATAATGAATATAGTAAACAACATAATACTATTAAACACCATTCCATTTTGACGGAACTAGGGTTTTTCTTATATTTCTCTTTAGCTCATTCTTAAATCCTACTTAAAATTCCTTGTCTATTTCCAGCATATGTTTGGTCTAAAGTAAAGTCTACTGAATTTATTTTTAAGTGATTTCCAAGACGTTATACATGATTGTATCATTATTGCCAACAAATATTTCACAAAATAAGCCCCTTCTAAATTTGAAAATGTCATCACACATAAATTTCCTTAATAGTTAATCATTGTCATAAGTATGGCAGATTTCAGTTTTTGTCCAAAGGTATTACTCTTTAAGTCATTTGTTAGATGTTCCTGACACTTTATAAGGACATTAAAGTGTGTTTCTGAATAAACTCCTCTAACATACGTCCGATCGAGTTCTTCAACAAATCCAATAAAAGAAATGTTGTCAAAGAGGAGATTTCAGATCAAAGATAAATTACAGGGAAGGTTTTATGCGAACTTCAGTCACAGACTTCCATATTAAAAATGTTACAGAACACACTTTATTTGCTCATTTGAATAAAAGGTTTTATAAGGAACTCTGTTCTAGAAGAAAAAAATTCTCTTTGATGTTATTTTTTTTTTTCCTTTTTGTCACATTCTATACAACTTAGAATTTAATGGCTAGAACAAGGTTTGCAATCAACAAGGGCATGGCTGTTTCACGAGATGTAAATATTTGTTAAATCTGTCTTATATGACTAATAATTTAGCAGGAGAATTGTGTTAACAGATCTTCAATTGATCATATATTATGTCCACCCTCTTTTGTTAAAGATCCACTATTCTTCTTACGCAATTCTTATTTGTCTTGCTCAACTAAGATTTTGGAGTATTGTACAAGATCTCCTAGCTAGTCTTGAGTCACAACCAGCACCTCTTTAAAAGTTCATTGGAAACACCAATGCTTTCATTCCATCAAATGGGCAATATGTACAAACCAAAGAATGAATATGTCACTTCCTTGTCAAAATTTTTTTGGGAAGTTTTAAGTGCATTGGGGTATATAGGTTTATGTTTTCACATGTTATATTAATTTTATAAGAGTAACCTGGATTACAGACATGCATGTACATCAAGTGGTTGTGATTTCAGTTTTGGTCTAAATGAAATCCAGAAAAAGTTTTCAATCGCAAACTCGTAAGTTGAGCCAAAATGTACATTTAATGGATCCCTTTATATCAAGTTTTCTAATTCAGTGGGATTTTTTGGGAGTCTTTGAAGAATACCCAAGACAACTGATGAAAATTCAGGTGTATCTTGTAGATGAAAATATCTTCATGAAAGAAATTTAAATTAAACGTATTCAGAATTCATTTGTGGAATTTATAAGCACCATTTATTGGTCTTTTGTTCAGTCAGGGGTTAAAAGATGTGTTTTGATCCTTTCCCCTTAAAATTGATAGAAAGTGACCAAGGATAAAGACATTGGAGGTTGAATTAAGCATTACTGTGCAAAAACCATGGACATTAAAACCCAATCTCAGATGTTGGTTTAACTGATAAATTTAAGAACATGTAAACGTACAGTCATTGAAATCAAAATTGAGATTGATAAACTTGTCAATTTGATAATTATTAAGTGATTTCCAGCAACCGAGTTTTAATTCTCTCTCTCTCTCTCTCTCTCTCTCTCTCTCTCTCTCTCTCTCTCTCTCAGATTTGAATTTAAAAAACAAGGAGATATGTAAAATTCTCAAAGTACAGGTAGACAAGTATGAAATTTAAGTTGAATTTCTGACAGTTTTTTTTTTTTTTTAGTAAATGAAAATTATGTATTTTTGTACTAGATTTAAATATTGAATTTTTATTTATAATTTTTTGTTGGCTTTTAAAGTATTTTAATCAAGCATGCACTTCTTTGAATGATTTTTTAAAAATATGCCTAAAATTGGATGAACTTGTGAAATAATCCAAACAAGATTTAACAGAACAGTTGTATTGTTTGCATAGAAAATAAACTGAGAAAAAGAAAACCCAAGATGACTTGCCAAATATTAAACTGTTTTTTAGATTTGAATAGTGCAAGATTTAACAGGTGTCAAATGCTCTCTTTAATGAACATTTTGACACTCATTTTTTTTTCTAAACACTGCACATTAAAAGTTTTAAAAAGTGTAATGATCAAAAAAAAAATTCTACATAAAAATAAAAGTGCAAAATTTTGATGCAGTTAAATATTTCAAAGGGAATTCAAGCAATATAGAACAACTTTTACGATTTCTTATTTAAGTGTCGATCGGAATACAACTAGGTCCGGCTTATCTTTTGAAACAAGCTATACAAATCTGAGAATTGTTGGGAATTAAATATTCACAATAAGAATTTATACAGTTTAAAAAGCTTAGCCATGTTTATCTTTTATCAAGAATATGTATGCAGCAGAGTTGTTTTATTAAATGATAATGCCTAAATCCCCTGCGTTGAATTGTTCGAGTTCTGGTGGTTCTGATTTTGTACTTAAGAAGGAGTTGAATGTTTTTAAAAGTCAAATGTTATCACAAATAGGGAAGAAAAATTATTGATCTAACATTCAACGGACTTGTTTTAAGTAAATAACCGGTAGATTATTTTCCCAGCATGTTTTTAAATTGCAAGGAAAAATATTTATCCCTTAAATGTAAGGCAACTTTCTGTGTTACTTTTTTTGGTTTCCTTCAGTCCTGGTAGATCAATGAGACAATGTTTGATCGTCAAGTTACTGAACAAGTTAGAAGAAGAGTTTGTCTGATTGGGTTACAAATTCCTTGTTAAAATACCAGAATAACCAAAGACTGCATGTCATCAAATGAGATAAATTGATTTAAATTTGATTTTTTTCGTCTTTCCTCAAAGTGTCAATGAGGTGAAGAGAACACACAGTCATTGTTTAGACTGCAGGACTGGGGACTTTAACCACGGCTACAAATCAGAAATGGGGAAATAGTTTGGGAGTCAATATAGACAGATACTTGTCGATAATAAGCCGTACATATGTATATGGGAGACATGTTGCCCTTTGACAGCGTAAAGATATTAATTATCAGTTTTCTACTGTCCATTGTATATAATCCCCACAGATGTGTCCTCAACCAAAAAAAGTCTTAAAAATTTTAGTGTACAGGATCTGAAGCCCAAAATTTTCTTGTACTCGTATTTGTAGATCAGTTAATGTTCAGATTTCAAAGTTCTCAAGAATTGTTACACCATCTTTGACCAAACATAGCAGCATGAATAAGTTAAGCTATTCTGTATAGATGAGGGACAATTTCTAATTCCAAGGGAAAATGATTTAATTAAGAATTTGAAAAAAAAAAAAAAAAATTAAGGTACAATTGTACATTATTACTACAACTGTAATATGATTCAAAGTTTAGAGTAGACATGACAAAACTTGATTGAGAGATAGCAAATGACTTCTAAGCATCAATCCTTGATTCCCCTTCCCCCTCTCCCCCAATCTTTCCAAGGGATGGGGAAATAATTCGATTTAATCAATCCAAGATTGTTTATCATTACATTCCCTTGGGCCATGAATGGGGAAAAACAATTTAATTAACATATAGAAATAACTTAAAGGCTTTACTTGTTATTATGGGCATTCACACATTTTGGTTCCACAGCTTGTTTAGATCATCAAGTACGGTATATGCAGTAAAGTCAAGCTTTAAGCAAAGCCTATATAATCACAATAGATTCAGACAAGGACCATAATATCAATGGATCTAAAACTTTGTTGAAAGAAAAGAGTGACTCAGGTAAGAGTTCTGATCCAAGAACCTATAGTTATTCAACAATCATAAAAAAAAAATTATATTGATATTTTGAAGTTTGATTGAAAATTGAATGGATTTTTTATAGTCATTTATGAAGCAATGTTACTGATGGCCATGCTGCCTTAATATGAGGTCCATCTAATGGTGACAGACTACTAGACTTCTATTAGCTTACACACACAGTCACATTTATGTTCTTAAGGATTCTTCATCATTCTTCTTCATTCAAAGAGTGCTTTAAATGTTCATATATCAGCTGTGGATTTTGTCATGTTAAGAAAAGACCAGACCATAGGCACCAGCATGCAGTCTTTAATATTATCGATATTTAATATCAGGAATTATTAACCCATTCATCAGATATTCATCGTTTGGCTTTGTCATCGTTTAGAAAGTACTGTAATTAGTTTTCCTAAGAACTTGACATTTATTAATTCAATTTTTTTTATAATTAACTCACTGGACTGTAAATTTAGAATCATGGTCCATTGCCACAGATTTGTAGAATCTGAGATGCAGTTCATTGTGTTTAAAGGGATCAGGAACTTTAATGAGTATATTG